TTGAGGGTGTAAGTATAAATGAAAAATTCGAAGTAGATTCTATCCCTAAGAGATAACTAGATCAAGAAAACTGTACCCAAATTTCTGGTTAAAAAAAAAAACTGTACCAAAAAAAAATGTAAATGTGTTATATATATTATAATATTTATTTGGACGTCTGTGTATATATATCATTGCCTTTAGTTTTTTTTTAATTTTTTTTAATGTGAACATCGAATTTTCGCCCTTCATTAAATAAATACTTTGTCCTAGTGTTATAGATCAGCCTAAAAAATTTGGTCATGAATGAGATGGTTTCGTGTTGGGCTAAAGAGGAAAATAACAAATCAAAATAGCCTAGAGACGGAAGTAAGCCTTTTATATAAATGGCTCAAGGGCTTATTGTTTTTTTTTTTTTTGATCAAACGCTCAAGGGCTTATTGTGTATTTGCTTTAGAGTTTGGAAAATTGAATTTGGTTAGAATTTATTTTGTTACAGCGTGATTTAGGAAATGTTTGGGTTGAAATCAAATCATTATATTTTAATAGTGATTTTATGATATATAAAATAAGTATATGAGAGCAGTTTTGTCTCTATTTGCAAGAAAATTTTTTTAAAAATACTTTTTACTTAACCAAACACCCCTTAATTTATATTTGGATGCGTAATTATTAAAAAAAGAGAGTTTACAATATAACTTAACATAATGAATATTAATTGATTAATGAACTTACATATATTTATTTATATAATAAATAAAAATGTATATAAATATAAAACAAGCAAGAAGGGGTTAGAAATCGCAGGTGGCGAGAGAAAGAACAAAGAAAAATCTTAAAACAATACTTCTTGAATTTTAAAATTTCAAATCATTTTTGTTTATTATATTTTAATAGCAATCGACTACACTTAAAAAGCAAGTGACAACATATTTTTATATTAATTTTTGATTTGGTATTTTAAAATTTAAAAAGTATTTTTTAAAAGATTTTCTCAGAAGAATTAACGAACGAAGAAGAGAAAAAAAAGAGCAACAAATGGGGTACTAGTGGTTGGTGAAATATTTATTGCATGTAGCATGATTTTTTTTTTTTAAATACAAAAGTTGGTCTTTTTTCTCTTTCGTGGTTTGTAGGGCAAAGTCGGTGGATGTTTTGATCACTTCCAAAAAATCATTTTTATAAGACAATTCCTATCTCATTTATTTCATAGTGTAAAATTATTTAAAATCACTTAAAATACTAGTTACGTTTGGGTATGTTCTTAACTTGAATCCGATATTAAAGAACTGGGTATGGCTTGAGGGGTAATTTTATAAGTTGAGCTATTCTTATTTGAGGGATGATGACTTATTTACAATTTCACATAAGATTAGAGATCAAGGTTTAATCCAACATAATCTGACACCAAGCTTATTATAGGTAGATGGGTTGTGTTGGTTGTTAGAATCCAAGCAAAAGCCAACAGAATACAAGATAATAATGGTGGGATCCAATTTTTGAACTACTGAGATTACTGATATACTGTCACTGCTACAACAGGGCAACGTGTTTTTAGCATTGCTTAAATCTTTTTAGTATCATCAATTTCTTTATCTTTGGTTGTCTGTATAGTTTCTCTTCTTTTTACAGATTCCAAAAGCCTGTCCTCCTGTGATACACCCTCATTCTATGTAGTGTGGTCCTTGTAGCTGATTTTTGGAGTTAAATATAGACGTGCAAGCACAGTAATCATATTTACTTGACTTCCATCTTCAATACCAAACGCACTGAGCCTACTATTCCGACTTCCGAACGGCCATATCTTCGTCGTCCATTCCATTGGTCGGTTTGACAAAGTCACAAAGGACGGAAAAAAGTTTCATTTCGAATTTGATTGCTTGAACAGTAAACTTGGAGGATCGTATGAAAACTTTGATGGGTCCAAGATTCAATAGGCCAACTTGAGATGGAAAATTTGTCTTAGCTTCCTTCTTACAATGATCAACATAACATTTAGCTAGACCCTATTGATTACTCCCTTGGCTAGCTACCCCTTATTTTCTTTCAGGTCTCTTTCACCAAGTCTTGCCTGGTCACTTTCCAAGTCAACTTGCGTGTCAGTCAGTTCAAGTTGGAAAGGTTATATATGGATACACACACACACACACACCCGTATTATTATCTTGGGGGTGACAGTGGAAACAGCATTAGTCTGAACTAAATTATTATTAGATAACAAGTCTTTTGTTGGAGTATCATGGCTCTGGTTTTTGAGTTTCGTTTCCTCTTGATCTCTCACCTTTTACTTGTTTCAGCTAGGTATGGACATGCGAGCCATAATAAGTGTCCTAGATCGTTTAACTGCGGAAAACCTGGGAGCATCCGGTTCCCTTTCACCAAGGTAGAAAGGCCAGACTGTGGCTTACTGATGGTTCGTAATTGTGATGATCCAAATGCATCTTCAGAAAAAATTATTGAACTAGAGAAGGAACCCTGGCAGCTTACTAGAGCCCCTCGCCAATCACATAGCGTTACGGTTTTCAACCCAGATTTACACACTCGCTTACAATCCAATGGCTCTTGTGAAGCCCTCAAGAATAATATCAGTCTTCCTGCGAAAGCACCTTTGATTTCTTCTTATATCAAATATAACATAACACTCTTTAAATGCCACCACCACCTCAATGTCAGCATCCCAACTGGTTTTATTAAAAATCCCTGTCCTGGTTTTGATATATATCATTACAGCCGAGACGCTAATCTTAAACCTGTCGAAGAAAGCTCCTTCTCAGCATGTTCAACTGTGGTGCTTCCCAAGAAAGACTGGCCTGATAGCACAGACCTTCAATCGTTCTTATCTGCACAAATGGCTCTTGAGGTACGATTGTCTGATGGTTGTGAGAAGTGTTACAACGACCAAGGAGGCTACTGTCGACTGGACAACAACAATAACTTCTACTGCGACAATGGTCTGTGTTCCAAGAATAACCCTTGTCTACACAGGATAAGTGAAATTGTCACGTACCATAAATAATTTTGTCCTTGACATGGTTGTGTCAATTTCCGAATTGGAGTTATTTTCCTTGTTATTTATCTATGGCAAACGCAGAACTTTCTTGCTAACTTCCTTATATCTTATATATTCTAATTCCTTCGATTCCTCGTCTTCCCTTCCCCGCCTAATTTCCAATAAACACATCTTAAAGTTATGGCTCTGCACTAATTTGGTCTTATATTTTGTCGTTGTGTTTACTTCAATTTGTTCCTTCTTTTGATTGCAGCTCCGTCTAATCCAAGGAAACTTTGGAAGCTGGCACTGGGACTTGGGCTAGGTAATACACATATATGTTGTTATATTCTTTCTCAGCTATTAGCATCATTCTCTAATATTATACCTGGGTCCTCTTTCAAATTCTGTTTTGAGATACTGTGGATCCATTCTTCTTCACATTCAAAAATCAGCCTTCTATTAATATTTCAGAAAACTTTTTGTTCTCTTCCTCTGTTTCAGGCTATCACTCTCCATTCCGTTTCCACAATCCTTACAGTTTCAATCACTAAAATATTTCTACCTTGACAACTAACAAGCTGTGGAAGTCCCAAGATTATCTTAAACCAGCTTTTCATTACATCCTCTCTTGGTTAACAATGGCTAGATTTAAGAATTACTCCCTCCGTTCCTTATTATAAGAGACATTTGATGCTTATACCATGTTCCTAAATATAAGAGACACTTAAAAGTTGTCTCTACTTTTTTGTGTTGATTTCCTATTTTACCCATATTTATTGTCTCCAACTCACACTCTCTCTCCTTCCCACTTCTCTTTCTTTTAAGAATTTACTATTGTTCTCTCTCATACTCTCTCTCCTTATTAATGAGGGCATTTTTGGAAAAAAAATTATACTTTTTACACATTAATTGTTCTTAACTAATTTTAACTGTTTTTTTGATCAACGTAATTCGGTTATTCGTCTCTTATAATAAGGAACGGATGGAGTATAATATTAAAAAGTGGGAACTCCACTTTTGCAGGTCTATTTGTTGGAGTTTTAGGCATGTTGATAGTTTGGCGGCGACTTCGACAGCATTACAAACGAAAGTATCCATCAGACAACCAATTGCAAGTAACAAGCAATTATGCAATTGATCCGTACTCCAATGCAGACCGAGAAAGTGGCAGAATCTACTTGGGGGTGCCACTCTTCTCGTACGAGGAGCTTAAGAAAGCAACAAATAACTTTGATCGTTCAAGAGAACTGGGAAATGGAGGCTTTGGCTCTGTTTACTATGGTAATTCACTCACTATGATCTTTCTTCTAAAACATATAAATTACGACCTCTTGTCCTTATTATAAGGAAATTAGTGAAGTTAATTATTTTAATAAATATGTCTTGTCTTTTGTAAAATACTTTTACTAATCTAATCATATGTATTAGTAAGAACTACTATTTGATGAAATCTTCAATATATACAAACATTACAAGGGCTACTTTGAAAAAAATAGATAAATATGAGAGACCAAGTAGATTGGAGTCTTAAATTTAGGAACAAACTAAATGTCAAACTAACTCCTACATTTTGGCCACGGGTAGTATTATCTTGTCTTCTGATTCGTTTTAGAAACATGTTCCATCTTGTTCATATGCTGTGATTTGATGTTAAATAACCAGGAAAACTCCAAGATGGGCGTGAAGTTGCAGTTAAGCGCTTATATGACCACAACTATCGGCGAGTTGAGCAATTCATGAATGAGATTGAGATGCTAACTCGCTTGCACCATCCAAACCTTGTGTCCCTCTATGGCTGCACTTCATGCCGTAGCTGTGAGCTTCTCCTTGTTTATGAATACGTTCCCAATAGAACAGTTTCTTGTCATCTCCATGGTGAACCAGCAAATCGCAGTTTACTACCATGGCCTGTAAGAATGAAAATTGCCATAGAAACTGCAACTGCATTGGCTTTTCTCCATGCTTCTGACACCATTCATCGAGATGTCAAAACTAACAACATCCTTCTTGACAATAACTTTTCAGTTAAGGTTGCAGATTTTGGACTTTCAAGATTGTTTCCTGATGATGTTACCCATGTTTCCACTGCCCCACAAGGGACTCCTGGTTATGTTGACCCAGACTATCACCAATGCTACCAGCTTACTAGCAAAAGTGATGTGTATAGCTTTGGGGTGGTGCTTATCGAACTGATATCATCTATGCCAGCAGTTGATATGAGCAGGCCTAGAGATGAGATAAATCTAGCAAATCTAGCTGTAAATAAGATTCAAAGAAGTGCATTTGGGGAGCTGGTGGATCCTTGTCTCGGTTTTGAGTCAGACAATGAGGTGAGGAGGATGATAGTTTCAGTGGCGGAGCTGGCTTTTCAGTGTTTACAAAAGGAAAAGGAATTGAGACCTTCCATGGATGAGGTTTTGGAGATTCTGGAGAGAATAGAGAGTGGGAATGAGGAGCTTAATCAGATTGAAGAAGTTGATGTTAATGGTGCTATTGGGATATCACACAGTGGTCCTTTACATTCATCTTCACCACCTTCACCGGATTGCGATGAGATCGGATTATTGAAAAGTATCACGTCATTGCCTTCACCTGCAGCCGTGACTGATAAATGGCATAGCGAATCAACTACAAATTTTGGGAGTTCTTAATAATCATTCATCATACTGATTTATTAAAGATCATAGTGATTACAGAGGTTGTGGATGTAGATATAAATGAAAATTCAAATGTACGTTCTATTTGTAAGGGATAATTACACGAAGATATTAAGTTGATTATATTTTAATTAGGTTAATTATGACAACCATAATTTTACTATGAGTTGGTGGGATTTATTTTAGTAACTCCCAATTCATTCCAATTATGTTATGTGTAGTGGTTATCTTTCTTTGGTTTTTTTTTGCCTTTTAATTTTTTTGGGGATAATGTTATCTTTTCACTTATAAAGCTGCTTACACTATGCTTACAGTATTTTTTTTTTGGATACAACGGGACACAAAATAAAATAAATTACCAAATCTCTATCAAAAAAATGATTATCCTTTAGAGTTTTTGCTGAGACAGACAGTCTGAAAGCCAACGCCTATGCTTAGTCCTTTCTTTGCTAGCTTATTTGTTAATTCATTCGTGCAAAGTGACTTGCCATTCCTGTCTTAACATGGATTTGATTTGTCACTAGAGATAGATGTTCATGAGTTTCAGGAGTCTCATAAATAATTAGCTCAATTGTTTCTATTATATTTAATTGTTTTTCTAATTAATGAGCATGACAAGTTATAATATCCCAATAGCATAGATTCTACTGGTTGAATCTCGTTACTTTGTTAGGGAATGGTAATGCCTTCACCTTGATCTGACCACGAGAATTAATATATAGTCAAAGGTAAAAGGCTCTATGTATAATTTCAACATTAAAGATAAGAGATTAAATTTATATTAATAAGAAATTATAGGAAATGCCTCATTAATAATTGGATGGCACAATTGATTTTGCAATAGAAAAATAAAATTATTCAATTTTCAAATCAAAACAATCTAGGCTAGATTTAAAACAAAATATTAACCCCTGTTCAAACAGTTAACTAAATAAAACTAAGATCTCTTGGATCTCTTTACACTGCTTGGGCCTGTTGGTGGAAAGCCTTTATCATGTTCTATTGGGCTTAAAGATATGTGATCATGTGTCTTGGATTGGGCCTTGGTATATATCCCTTCTCCAAAAGGTAGGTGGGCTCTCTTTGTTGTAGCTCCATGATCCATCCTTGTAATGCTTATTTATTTCATAGCTTTTCTCAATGACATTGTCATTTTTTTCACCCAAAAAGGGGGGGGGGGGGGGAACTATCATTGCTGCTTCATTGTCGACTCCTTGAGGACCTCCATCAAGAATATTTTACAATGGCTTTTCTTTTACCATGACTTTTCTAGGGAAGTGCGAAGCATGCATCTAGGCTCCGGATTATAACTCAAAATTTTAAATTCAAATTAAACGTTTCCTTCCTTTAATAAAACTTCTAGTTTTTAATATAAGAGTTATATAATTAATTTATAAATAATAAATAAACTAGTCAAGTTAGTTATTAGTGATAAATGTGTCTTAGTTTTCCTAAAACTACTATCTTTGATTATATGCGTTGGAATTATTTCTTGATTAGGAGTCTTTTAATATGTGCAATTAATAAGGATATTTTAAGCAAAGATTTATAAATTTGGAAGATAAAATATATTGAGACCTTATATTTAGAAATAAAATTAACCGTTTGTTTAGCTCATATATTTAAGATAAAAGATAGTAAGTGAGTTGACAATATTTATTGCCTATTTAGTACGTGAAAAATAAATTTTAGGTTTAATATCTTACCTTTGTTATCCTTCTTGTGCATCAGACTTTTTAATGTAGCATGTAACTAACTATTTATCAAAATTTGATGCAAGAAAGTGAGGGGTAAATATATTACTATCTCCAATCTTTAATATAAGAGCTATTTAACTAATTTGAGTAGATTAAAGAAATTAGTTAGGTTAGATATTTGTAATAAAAATTTGTCTTTTTTTAAAAGTACTTTTACTAATTATGTATATTAACTAAAACTGCTATTTGATGAAACTTTTAATATGTGTAACTATTACAAGAATTATTTTAGAAAAAAAATAAATAAACATGAGAGACAAGATAAATTAAAGATCACATATTTAGAATTAAATAAATATAAAACTAGTTCTAATCGGATATATCTAATGCAAGATGTACGATGAGGATATTTATTTATAAACTAAATAAATTTGCCATATATCCCACCTGTACCTTCAACTCATATATTTGAGCTTCAAAAAAGATATTTTAATCCTACAACTTTTGTTTGATGCAATTAAAGTCGCCGTTCTAAATTGAATGCTCAACAATTCGGAAAGTTAAACGGAAAAAAAATATTTTGAACCCTGCCTATAAGTTTCATCGATAAATTACAAATGCGGCTTCAAATACTCTTTCAAGTGAACATTCGTAATAAAAATTTAGGACTATAATTCTTTTGGTAAGAGTATGTAGTTTGGCAAGTTGTTGTATCAGGAATCGATTGTCCAGGGGTCTAGTTGGATATGAGGGTGGACCGAAAAACCATGTAATGATACAAATATTGATCACAATAGTCAACATATGAGGTTTTTAAATATTCAAAAAGTCAAAATCAAAACATTGCATTTGGGTGAATGCGGTTAAATATAGAACATTTACTTAATGACTAAAAATTGATATAATGGTGAGTCATAGTTTTTTTTTTTTTTTTTGCTACGCATGTGTATCCTTTTATTAGAAATAGTTTCATCCAAAGCACAATTGGGTACCAAGTGTGAAAAGAAGAGTTTCAAACCGTGATCTGTCATATTGTAAAGGAATGACAAGTCACAGTTATAATCATAAGTTTAACTCCAACAACATGCTTTAATTTGAAGAAGGCGTGTGTTGGAGGGACTTGTTGGATTGGTCAACATAGCGTCATAACAAGGCAGTATAAAAGATTGGAATCATCTGATCAAAATATGGTGCATGAATTGATGTAATATGTTGTATGACTTTTGGCCTTATATAATAAACGATGGGTTGAATTCAAAATCAACCAATACGAAGTGCCATCTCTTTGGGGCAAACGAGATTCCCGTGCTCTTCAATTCAAAGCATGCATGGCTCTCATGGCTTCTAAGTCTTCCCCACTCGTTTTCCAAGTCAACTTTCCCTCTTGCATGAATCACTTCAAGTACGTGATATATTACCAACACCCTGAAATCACAATCTCCAGAAAACACTTGTCTCGTCTTCTTCTTGTTAGTTTTCTTGATTTGAAATTCTGGCATGGCTTCTTCAGTTCCTGTGTTTCTTTCCGTCTTCTTTCTTCACCTGGTTCATGTTTTCTCATCGGGGTATATTAATAGAATCCATGGAAACTGTTCTAGCTCGTTTGAGTGCGGAGAACTTGGGACATTCCAGTTCCCTTTCACCAAGCCAGAACTTTAAGACTGGGTTTATCACAGTTCATGGCTGTGATGATCCAAGTTCAAACAATTATTGATCTGGACAAGAATAACGGAAGGAAGAAGCTGCGGCTTCTAAACGTCTCCCAGAAGAACATCATCACAGTCTCGGACGAAGATCTAGACAAGATTCTGAAATCCAAAGGTTATTGTCAGGTTTTCGACACAAACCCAAGTCTTCTTCCGCCGAACTCAGCTTTGGTCTCTTTTGAGATCCTAAATCATGGGAATTTGATCAAATGCAGTCACTGTGACCATGTGCATCGTCCCGCTGGTTTTTCCAAACATGTCTGTTCTGACTTTGATGTCTACTGGGAAGACTCATCCAGGCATAAACCTAACAATAATATTCAGGCACCACTTGGTTCTTTCCCCGGTTGTTCATTTCTTCATCTTCCAAGTAAAGACATATCTAATACTAATGACCATCTGTCCTTCTTAATAGTCAAATTGTTATCCAAGTACGATTGTCTCATGATTGTGATAAGTGTCACAACCACTTGGGAGGCCAGTGTCTTCTTGATGCCAACGACAAGTTTTACTGCAAATATGGTAAGAGCTTTGTGCTTACAAACACACACGCGGACATATACTAAATTTTTATATATAAAAGTAGTATATATACATCATAATTGTTGTTTAGCTGACTTCAAATGGTGTCTTGTCTTAACTTGAGCTGCAGAGAACACAAGGAAGAACTACAAGCTGGGATTTGGGCTTGGGATAGGACGTGATGTGCACGCATATTTTTTTATTTGCCCATACATTTTAATGATTTAGTTTATCATACTTTACTGATATGTCAAATTTTCCATCCTTCTCAAATCTGGATCAGTAAAGAATTTAATAGAAACAGAGAAATTGAGACCCTTATTCACTTTTACAAGTGATGCTGATTTTGAATTTATTGTGCAAAAACAAGTTGAATTTGAACGTGTCCTGAAATGAATTAATTCCAATCTTTACTGGAAGAAGATTCACAAATAATTAGTATTTTCAAAACCTTTCATGTATATGCTATTAGAATTTTTATGTTCTACACTCCAGCCTTTAGTTACACACTTTTACGTTGACTATTGAAAATCCTCAGATGACGAGGCAACAAGGTTATCTCAATATATTTTTGTCAGGTCCATTACAATGGATTATCTGCGGGATTATTTGTTATTTTTTGTGTTTATAGTTATTCTGATAATTTGTCAGCTACGCCAAAGACATTACAAACAAAAAAAATTCCATCTTCAAACATCCAAATGCAATCAGCAAATAATAATAAAAGCAATCCTTTCACAAATGCAAACTCAGAAAGTTACAGAGCCTACTTGGGTCCTCTTCTCTTACGCCGAACTTGAGAAAGCCACAAATAACTTTGATCATTCAAGAGAACTTGGAACTAGAGGTTTTGACATTGTTTGCCATGGTAATTATTTCCTCACACTTCCTTTTTATTATTGTTCTGTTTCTGATAAAAAGGGTTCTTCAGAGTGATGTTTTGCCTAAGAGAGAAAGGAACTTGGTAAGAAGAGAGATCTAAAACCTATATGGAGTCTCCTTTGACGGCTTCTATTTGAATTGGTCCAGTAACTTCATCCCTTGTTCATAATGAACTTATGTTTTAACACCATAATAGAGCAGTTCATAAATGAAGTCAAGATTCTGACTCACCTATGCCATCGCAACCCTGTGTCTCTTTATGGTTGTTCTTCATGTCACTGTCACGAACTTCTTCTTGTCTACGAATACATTCCAAATGGCACCGTTTACTGTCATCTTCATGGTGTG